AAAAATATCTGCAACAAGCTCACTGCGACACACTGCTGTGAAAGTATAACGAGCCCTTTAGACTGGGTCAGTGTTATATGATAGCAAAGAATCTCTGCATAGTTACTTACTGTAGCTCTTGTGAACCATCTGAAAAGCATACTGTACTGGGAATCCTTTGGAAAAACAGTTAGTTCTTGTTGGAAACAGCCTGTGTCAAACACATTAGTATTTGTTCAACTTTTCTGGTTAACTAATTGTAATTCAACAGTATGAATTGGTTAAGGGGTTACCTAGAGAAGCAGATCAAGGCTGTCTGTAGTAGACACCCTTACAGGAAACAAAGTAGAGCCCTTTAAATTTATAACAAAGTTAAATAAAACTCCAGCTTAAACAGGGTAGACACGCTAAAAGACGAGTATGTCTAGATGGGACAGAAATTGTTCAATTTAAAAATATGTTTGGGAAAAAATGCTTATGTTTAATCAGCAGTTGATGCTTAGAAAATTGGAAGTCTACCATCGTAAAACTGCTCCTGATTCTGCTCTGTTTTCTTAATGGGAACATTGTTCAATGAGCAGTTGCAGAAGAGCTTTTTTAATCAAATTTTAATTGCTGCTTTGTAAAACCAGAAAAGTGCAAATGCAATCATACAACAGGGATACTAAATATGGTCCCACACATTATTTTCTCCTTTCCACTCCTCATTCCACTCCATTGGCATTAGCAGCAGCTTTCTCACCGGTGACTCACCACTCATTAGTCAGGTGAGATCGTTCACTAAGCTGATGAACTTCAAAAGAGTCTGGATGTAGCTCTCATGTGGAAACAGATTAATTCAAGGTCAATATGTTGGGTTTCTTTTCTACTCTCTTCCACAGGGACGTACGTGACGCAGGTAACAGCCACAGACGCAGATGACCCAACCTACGGAAACAGCGCCAGAGTCGTATACAGCATCCTTCATGGTCAACCGTACTTTTCCGTTGACCCTAAAACAGGTAAACAAACACTTATTGAGAAATGTACATATAGGGTTTTCGTTGGGTTTTGAAGAGAAACTGTTTTCTAAATTCTATCGATATTAGCTACATATTCCAAAAATGAAAGAAAGCAGAAAAATAAAAAAGTTATGCATAAATGCTTTAACTGAAAAAAAAAGACTGAGATTTGAATACCAAGGGTATAGGTAAAAGAAAAAGAATAAAACAAAACAAAATTTGGAAATACAGCTTAAAGCTTTCTGACTTTTGTTTCAAAAAGTAAGCCATAACTGGAAAAGCAATAACACTTGAAATCTCATTAAATAAAGGCAACATATATATGGAGCACAACAAAAAACAAGAAATCAGCTGAAATAGGCCAGGACACAATTAAGAGTTAACAAAGAAAGCTAATGTGAGATTAGCATGCTAATAGTAACACTCACAGCTAATTACTGTGATTTTCAGACTTGTTTAAAATGCCCATGCACGGCAACTCCCTAGATGTCGACTGTTATGCAGATCATCTTATCTTCTGTCTGAACAGCAGGATTTATAGATAATTAAGTAAATGGATTCTCAAACTAAATGTTATATATTTGCTTTAGAAAATATGTCAAAGTTGTCCACCCATTAGAGAGTAGATAAAGTAGAAACAAATTAGGTATGGGCAGAATAGGAATTGCAATGATTGTCTTTGTCAGAGGAAAGTTGGCGATTTTTTCAGCATAATACTTGGAAAGTATAGTCAGAAAATTCAAAGCACACATTATTTATTTAAGTCTTAACATTTCTGCATACCATAAAGAGACAGTATTTATCAGCATAAATATTATTCAAAGATTACCTAAACTTAGGCAAGGCAAGGCAAGGCAAATTTCTTTGTATAGCACAATTCAGTACAAAGACAATGCAAAGTGCTTTACATGATTAAAATACAGGAAAATAAAACAGAATCAAAGTAAAATAAAAAATGCAGAAACAAAAAAGAATGTTAAAAACAGTTGGACTAAAGAAAATAAAAAAGTTGAACTAATGATGTTTCAGTTGAACTATTTAACTAGAACAGTCGAAGGCAATCCTAAACAAATGTGTTTTTAGTCTTGATTTAAAGGAACTCAGGCTTTCCGCACTTTTGCAGTTTTCTGGAAGTTTGTTCCAGATAAGTGGAGCATAGGAACTAAATGCTGCTTCTCCATGTTTAGGTCTGGATCTAGGCTGGAGCCAGAAGACCTGAGTGGTCTGGAGGGTCGATATACTGATAGCAAGTCTGTGATGTATTTAGGTGCTAAGCCATTCAGAGATTTATAGACTAACAGAAGTATTTTAAAGTCTATTCTCTGAGATACAGGGAGCCAGTGTAAGGACTTTGGAACTGGGGTGATGTGCTCTACTTTCTTAGTCTTAGTGAGGACACGGGCAGCAGCTTTCTGGATCAGCTGCAGCTGTCTGATCCACTTTTTAGGCAGACCTGTGAAAACACTGTTGTAGTAATCAATTCGACTAAAAATAAACGCTCAAATTCGTTTATCCAGATCATGCTGAGACATTAGTTCTTTTTATAAAAAAAAAAACTTACAAAACACATTTGCTATTTCAACATCATTCAGTTTTTTTCATTATTAGTGAATAATTGTCCTATATTCCTTAAGTAAAAATTGCACCATTGCTTGCATGACCAAGTTTTGGCTATAGGACAGACAGATGCACATTTGACTAAACAAAATTCTAGAACACAAAGGAGTAAGTTGTAGATTTCCAGTGACAGCGAAATCAGATTCAGTCATCAGCACTCCACTACCATGTTACACCGTCTGCATGAGATTTGATGCTGATATCTGGCACTTGACTTTCCCTAAACATGGTGTTGTACAATATGGATGGACATCTTTTTTTTAATAATAAAATAACAACTTAGTAGTACTGTCATATTGTTTTTAGGAAGAAGAGACTCTCACCTGGCAATTTGTTCAACTTTTCCAATCATCCTGTCATGAACTTCTGCTTTTAGCTCTACCCCTACAGCTCTAAAGTCAGACTTTGGGAGAAAAAAAAGGCAGAGTAACCTGACTTTGTCACATTCCATCTTATAGAAAGTAATGTCAGAACATGATGAAGTCATTTTTTTCTAATAAAAGTTTCACACTACAAAGTGATGGGTGCTGCTTTACTTGGCTGGGCAAAAAATAAAGTTTTGCTTTGCAATTTGGTCGTTGTCAACTATGGTTCTTGCTGTTCCACCAATATATGTTTCAAACAATCAGCATCGACATTTCTTCTGACCTTATCTGGGGTCTCATCCTGTAGCTTTTTTTCTTTACTGTTCAATATAATGTATTTTTTTTTCAAATAATTTTTTCACTCTGCAACATCTCTTTGCCAAGTCGATGGAAGAAACACAGTAATCCTACAGCGATCTGCTCAATGCAGATACCATGGATTTTTATACAAAGTTTAGATTTCGAAAAGGTAATTAATAATACTCATGAAGACATTAAAATAGAGAACTGCCCTAAAACATCATAATCACATATATCTATATTATGAGCTCACATATATTTATGTGAGCTCATATATTGTTAGGAGGGGCTATATCTGCTATCTACTTTGCATAGCCTCGCAGGATAGTAACCTAAACCCAAAATATTCTTTAGAAACATTGTATGATAAAATACAGTTGGACAAAAGAGTTTACCGCTGATTGTGAAAATTCTCCTACTTAGAAAGATAAGAGAGGTCAGTATTTTTTCATGACAGATAAACTTCAACAATGAGAGACAAAATAAATAAAAAATCTAAAAAATAGCCTTGTGGTATTTCTGAACAAAAAAAAATAAAGTATGGTTGAAAACAAGAAATTGTTCTCAAACAAGCAAGAAGTCTGGCCCATAATCCACCTGTAACTTATATTTTAAGAAGCTCTCCTGTCTTTAAAAAGCTAGCTGAATTAATGTCATCTGTCTGAATTAATTATGTGTATGTCCGAAGGCTTAAGGCTGATTTATACTCAGAAACCAGGTCATCTACATGTGTGTCGCAGTGAAAGCAAATGTGCCCCGCCCCTACCGCAGACACTTTAGAGCACCTCTCCAAAATTGTAGGTGACCGCAGCCAGTGCCACAGACACGAGGCCTCTGATTGGTCAAATCTACATCCGCTCTACACAACGCGTATTTCCTGTTTAGTACTTTACCAGCTTGTTTTGTTTGTATGACCGCCATTGTGGAAAATTACTCGTGAAGATGGACCAGCTGGAAGAGCGATGTTCGCGAGAAAGCTGGGACCCTTTTACCACCTGGATCCCCGCTCTTTTTCACCCATATGTCCCTCTGTTGTCGCACAAACTTGCCCCCACTTCCTCACCGCCTCTGCCGTACCTAGACCCAAAGCTAGTTTGTGATTTCCCCTCTTGCTTTGTGGCACGGAATAACATAGCACAGGCCACGCTTTAATATTTGGCATAAATCTAAATATCTGCGACGAGCTTACTGCGACACACTGCTGTGGGAGTATAACCAGCCCTTTAAACAGTACAAATCTAAACTCAACCATAGCAAAGACTTTGATGGGGCAGTATTCAAATTGCCATGTTTCGGTTTGAGGAGCAGAGATGACTGACGTATCTCTCAAACTTGTAGTCATTGGCCATTCCACCCCTGTAGCGTGGCATGCATCTGATGTTTGCACACTTTCTAAATGTCACCAGAGCGTATCGCGAGTCCTTATTTTCTGTCTGCTCCTCCAATTTCTGCTCTCCACCAGCCCTTCTTCCTTGCTGTCCCCCCCTCCCCTACCCGCTTACACACTCACAATTAATCTTTACTGATATATGTTACAGAGGGGCAGACCCAGCAGCACAGCCCTTTGTGGAGAATTAATACTATGAGGCAAAACAGACTTTTTTTTGTAACCTCGAGAACCAGAAAACATTTATTTTTTGTGCAGAGTATATAACAAGCTTTAATGCCACACTACACCATATTCTCTGAACTGACAAAGGATTTTCTCGATTTGTATATTTGGAACTGAAAGTGGAATCAACAGATTACGTTATTTTATGATTAATTTGGTGGTGATATGAGAGTAGGCCGACTAGTAATGTACCACTGTCTAATGCAGATAAATATTTAATCTCACTTTTTAATCTCCGTATTAAGGTAAACATACTATTGAGATTTTGGGCACAGCAAAAGCAGCAAATACAGAATAGAGCAAAGATCATCTTTAATATATCCAAATACATGTCTTGGTAGGACACAGTGTCATTACAGTTTAAGATCTAAGTTGAAGTCCTTAGCAGACAGCTTTAATGTCATTTAACAAGGACATAGTTCCTTTTTTCGTCTTGAATTGTTTCATAGATTATTAAACTCCAAAAACAGAGGACGTTGTTTCTGATTAATTCTAACCTGATGACCCTGACCCTGTTAGTCTGTGAAATGGAGTTGTACAAGCTCTAGACTGATTTGTAAACCTAGTTGGCTGCTGAGGTTGCTAACTTGTGGCTGGATGTTTAAGAGGTATAAGACTATAAGTTAAAAGTAATACTATGACATGGATATTTACCCATTATACATTTTTTAATTGAAGATCCATGAGACCATATTATAAATAACTACCAGTACTGGCTCATGAAATATCTTGACATTGGTATTTTGAATCGATACTAATATTGTCTAATGAAGTAATGTGATATTTGTCAGAATCTATTTTTTTCTTACATTGCTTGTAATTAATAATTGTTTGATACTCTGACTTTTTTCAGGCAGTGTTGGTTTGCTGAAATAAAGCAATGTTTTTTTTTTGTTTGTTTTGCCTCATTGACAGAATTTTCTTCTCTATCTTTTTTGTTGATAGATGATGTCAGAACCAGGTGAGAAGGGGTTGGGGTAGTTTATAGAGCGTGACTGCTCTAAATCTGAAATAACTTCATACTGCCAGAACTGTGTTGCTGTTCCCCCGCTATCTGGGGCATTTCAATGCATATGGAAATAGATTCATGCATATCACACAGCCTGATAAGGTGGAATCTTTTGCTGATCGCTCTACTCATCCCAGGGTTTTGCAGGGCACCTACTGTGATTATATTTCAAAGTGGTGGTGGGGAAAAAAAAGTCTTACTGTTAAAGCAAATGTTTGTCATGCTGGGGCTGCCACTATCTCCAAATGTGCAGAAGAATAGGAGGGCAAATACTAGGAGGTAAAAGGTGAACAAAGGGAGATGCGGGGGATGCCAACAACATGCATAAATCTGCATGCATTCTGCAAAGACCGATGACAGAGCTTTCCAAACAACCAATGTTTCACAGATTTGCGTATGGAATGAAGAGAACCCCAATGTAATTAATGGAATAGTAGCAGGGGAAAGTTTATTCCAACCTGTGCTGCATGCTTCTCTGCAGCCTGCCAACCTCCCACTGACCTCGCTATTAATCTGCAGTACAAACCCTCTCTGATCTCAGGGCCTCAGATCCTCAAGTGAATCATTATATGGCTTCAACGATGCTCCCTATTGAATGTCAAGTGTTTCCAGTTTGTAAGGTGACCTCTATTTTCGGCCTCATACTTCTGCAGCTTCATGCGGAGGAGTGAAGTTCTTTTCTAGCAATATATTGTGCAGTTTGAAGTAAATTGAGCACTTTTTCTGCTTGCCTTGTATATAACACTTGCTTTTTTTTCATGTCACTGTCACTATTTCCCACTATCTACTTATTTTTTCTTTTGTTTTGTCTTCTGTCTCTTCTACCTCTTACCTCCATAAATCTTGCTTTTATACCAGGAGTAATAAAGACGGCTTTGCCAAATATGGACAGAGAAGTAAAGGAAGAGTACCAGGTATTAATCCAAGCCAAGGACATGGGCGGCCAACTTGGAGGACTGGCTGGGACCACCATTGTCAACATTACCCTCAGTGATGTTAATGACAACCCACCCAGGTTCTCTAAAAGTAAGTGTACTTTCCAGATGGATTTTTTTTTTTCTTTTTTCTTTATCTCTTTGTTATTTTATATTTTGACTGTACACAATGGAGTGGGGGGTATAATATGTGTAGTCTGTTTAAGTTAAATTTCTACATGATGTAATAAAGAACCTTTTAATATATATATCACCTATTATCTACACCAAATACCCTGAAGCAGTTGGTTTAGAGAGCTCTCTTCATAAGCAGCAAGCTCATCTGCATTCTTCATCACATCCAGTACTTTGTTGGGTGATCCCTGGGTCCTGATTCCTCAAAATACAAAAAACTAAGTGTATTGAAGAGGTTAACAAAAATGAAAACTAGCAAATTTTCAAGGCACTTTATTAATATTTGTTTGTCTTAGTCTGTTAATGTGATTTACTTTTTCAGTGGTGTATTGTATTGCCTAGTATATGGAATAAATCATCATTAGGGGAACAAAATAATAAATAGAAGCAGAATATTTCTAACATTCTACTATATCAGTCTCTGCTACCCTCACATTGACCCATGAAAATGGAACAGGGTGTGCACCATTTAAAAATGAATAATACAAAAAAAACTATTTTTAGAAGGATTATAGAAGCAACATACCAGGTTATGACTTCTCTAACTGAAATGGTACTTAAGTTTAAAGATTTGAGAACCTTTGTGTGTTGGAATTACTTGTTATAAGATCAGCGAACTTTAGCATTCATAGAGCTGTTTTTGTCCCTGTTGAACAAAATGTGATTTTTCTATAGTAAGGCAAGGCAAGGCAAATTTATTTGTATAGCACAATTCAGTACAAAGACAATGCAAAGTGCTTTACATGATTAAAATACAGGATAAAACAGAATCAAAGCAAGTAGGAAAACATAAAAAAAATGTAGCAAATAGTAGCAAAATGTTTTTGATCCAACACCTGCCGTTCAAGGGAAAACAAATTATGATTTTATTTCTTTATTTCAACGCACCTGCAGAATCAGCTGCAGCTCTGGAGTGGGGGGTTGCAGACCACTTGCCTTGTTGAAGTCCAGATCTTAATTTGACTGAGGCTTGACATTTAATGTCCACTAACTCTTATTACCTGATCTAAAATTAGAAAAAAAGAGTCAGAGAACTTCAATAGAATAGAATAGAATAAAATAGAATAGAATTGAATAGAATCCTTCATTGTTCCACAATGGGGAGAGTATGGTGTAACAGCAGCAAAGCAAAAGGCATTATAGTAAAAAGGTCAAACAGTCGACACTTTCACACACTGTTGAATAATAAATACTGTACAGTAAGAGATAAAAATACATATCTGATGTAAATATTCTTCAGTCACTTTACAATAATAAATAACCTGAATATATAGATATATAAATACAGATATATAAGTGTGGGTGTGTGTGTGTGTTTACAGCTAATTTTGGAGACCTACACATTTCCTCCGTTTCACTATTATTTTCAGTTATATGATGTCCCATCACATAAATACCCACAAACAAAATACATTAAAGTCAGAATTTTTTGACAGCCTTCAGACAAGTTCTTGGATTATTTACACTTTAGGATGAAGAAAACACAATGACCTTATGCATCTTCACACATGCTTTGACAATAAAACAAACACTCAACAATTATATCAATGCAGGGGGTTTTCATCATCATTTCTCGGTCTAATTGCTTTTCATTATTTGTCATTATGCTCCGTCGTGAGCAGTGGCCTGTTTATGTGCTGTGATTGCATCTATAGCTACAACTCCTAGCAAATAAAACAGGGTAGATGTTATTCAGCTGGCGTCTGTCTATATTTAGATCAGATTTGAGATTTGTTGCTTCAACATCAGGGATTCAGTCAGTGTGTTTAAACTCCGTATTCCGTCCCATAAGCTGCTGCTAAAGCAGATTAACTCGATTGTACCGTTTACTAAATAATGCAGAAAGCCAGTATTTAAAATAACATAAGGCAAACCAAAACATCTGCTTCTATGCATACTTCAAGCACGTGTATTAAAGTGTATGCTAATTATATTCTTGATAAGAGCAGCAGGGGAGCAGGAACAGTAGAGCAAAAGATACTCCGCCGTATTGATGCAGCTTCTTTGTGTGCTTGAGGTGACACTGAGCGCTCTACCCTGAATGTAAATACAGCCGTTCAGACGGTCAAGCTCCTCTGGCTGCAAGGAAAAGATGATATTTCCATAATGCTGTCACAGCACTGATGCCTGGGCCAAGTATCTCAGCCCCTCTGTCCTGTCCCATTCTCTTTTTGTCTTCCAACGCTTGCCTCTATAGAGGCGGTTCTAATTTTAAGGAGTGACAAAAATTCCCTTTAAAGATTTTGCTATTTCTGTGAAAAGCTATTTGTTCTCTTACAGATTTGCTGTGTTTTCACTTTCTTTGACACACTTACAGATCAATATAAATGCATGTGAGATAACATGCTTAAATACTAAATATGGCAAGTGTTCAAACTTTATTGGGTTAAATTTTTCCAATGTAAAAGGTGAAAAGATTTTTTTTTACATATTTTCCAATTTACTGGCCACATGCAGGCCTAATTCCTTGCCGATCTGTACAATTTTGAAATCACTTACTGCAGACTTGTCTATATGCCTGTTTGAATAAATGGTAAATCAAGTAATCACATGATAAATTTAAATAACTTAAATAATTTGCATTTGTATACTTGTTTTCTTTGTGTACCGTTTGTGGGACAAAAGGTTTTGCCTAAGTGCATCAATATCTGCTCACCTGTCTCCTATAGCAGTGATTCCCAATCAGGGGCTGGCTTTTTTTTTTAAGTCACTTGCGGAACTCTCAAGTCCTGTTTTTTGGCAAATTCCTGAACTGTTTTTGATACTTTGTGCGGCTTTGATACCATTTCTCACCCCATTCTTCTCAATAGATTATCCTATTTTGGCATCTCTTACACCCCTCTTGACTGGTTCCGCTCATATCTCTCCGACTGCACTCAGTTTATTCAACTCAAATCTTTCACATCACACCCTTCCCCTGTCATTACTGGTGTCCCTCAAGGCTCAATTCTTGGCCCCCTCCTCTTCATCACTCACCTCACACCCAGCTTTTTTTATCCAGTAAACCCACTTCTTCACTCCCCTCCTTATCTCTTACTAACTGCCTACTTAAAATTAAAGACTGGTTCACGTTAAACTTCCTTAAATTAAACACTGCTAAAACCAAACTCCTCCTCGTCCCCACTAAATCCACCCTATCCAAAATCAATAGTTTCTCACCACCCATTGACAACTCGTTGGTCTCCCCCTCCCCTCAGGTCAAGAGTCTGGGTGTCATCCTCGACTCCTCCCTCTCCTTTCAGTCACACATAAATAAAATTACCTGGTCTGCATACTTCCACCTTCGCAACATTAACCGTCCCTGTTCCTCCCTCACCACTTACATTGCCTTTGTCCTTATCCACAGCCTCATCAACTGCCGTCTTGATTATAGTAATTCTCTTCTTTTCGGCCTCCCTCATAAATCCCTTCATAAACTCCAACTTCTTCGGAACTCAGCTGCTTGTGTCATCACAAGAACCCCCTCTATTCATCATATTTCCCCTGTCCTTTACCAACTCCATTGGCTCCCAGTTCAATTCAGAATACAATTTAAAATCCTTCTATATACTTTCAAAGCCATCCATAACCTTGCTCCTCCATATCCGTCAGACCTCCTTCACATTGCCATCTCCTCCCGCTCCCTTAGATCCTCCTCCTCCATCCACCTCAATGTACCCCCAGCTTGACTTGTCACCATGGGGAGCAGAGCCTTCAGCCGCTCTGCTCCCCAGCTCTGGAACTCACTTCCTCCTGACCTCCGCAGTATTGACTCTCTCCCTTTATCCAAAGCCAGACTCAAAACTCATCTGTTCCAGCTCGCTTATTTGTAAATACACTGCTCTTGTCCCTATCCATAACTGTTTTTTCATTTTATTCTGTGTAAAGTGACCTTGAGTGTCCAGAAAGGCACTGTTAAATAGAATGTATTATTATTATTATTATTTCTTTATTATCTCCTAGCACCCCAGTTTTATGATTTTTAATTTCCATGCCCCTGTTTCCTGGTTATCATGTCTGACCAAGCTTAGTTAAGCACCCCACTCAGACCAAACCCAGATCTCAGAGTAACAGGGCCAGACGGTGAAATGATGATGTGTCCAGGAACATGAGACAGCCTCTGTGCAAACAGCTGTGTGCAAAACAAGATGTTTAAGAATGCATACTCATTGTCTAATCAGACTGTTGATCTGGGATGTACTTCACACTATAGAATTCAGTATTTATCATGAATTGCTTTGTATGTGATACCTAGCTGACAATGCTCCCCAGGCAATAACAGGCAGCAACAGTGCTCAGAGCAGCCAGTCATAGGGACCCTCAAGTCATATGCGCTCTCACATCTCTTTCCTTTCTGTGTGCGATGGGAGACAGGTGTGCACCAAGGCAGTGGGGAAAAGGACGGCAGTTGTCATGAGAAATGTAGGAGTGCTTGACTATCAGATCTGAAACATGTGCACAGACACAACACAGCTCACAGTATGCACACAGGCCACTCTAGTACTGTATGTGGGGGAAACTAAAGCATCCAACTATAATCTATTTAACCCTTTAACCCTTTGTCAAAGGTTAAAGTAAATTTTTAATTTGGATATATATATAATATATATATATATATATTTATAAACTGTTTATGCACACATTTCTATATGGTGGTTATATGTGTCGGGCTCTCTTTTATCTTTTCCAACAACAACACTGAACACCTCATGCCATTTTTAAGTTTAAAATGGGTAAAAAAGACATTCCTGAGGCAATTGACTTCAGTAAAACAAGGTAGAAACACATTTACAAATGTGGAATAAAAGAAATATGAGTGAATCTTCCCAAGAGTCAACAATCAACAATCATTCTCTAGAAAACACATTGGGAACTCATTAAGGAGGTCAAAGAAGGATCAAAAAGAATCCAAAATCTTATAAACAAAGGGGAGAGATACTGTATGCAGGGCAAAAATTTCATATTTAAGATAAAAAATAGCTAAAAACCAAAAAGAACCAAAATATTCTCATATTTAATTAAATGCATGTAGTTGATCTTGCAACACTTTTGAGTCTTGATGACCCAAAGTCAATTGAACTCTATCAAAGCCTTTTATAAAAGGAACATCATGCCATCATATCTGGGCTTCTTGTTTTTGCTAGTTTAGGGCCAGGACACTACCATAATTAATTGACCATTAAATTCAGTTTATTACAGCTTCCCTTTGTCTTTACATGAAAAAAAAAAACTGTCTGTAAAGCAAGGGTGAAGACAGACCGACTTAAAGGTGTTTTTGATGTCAAATGTTAGTTGATCCAATCGGGCTCACCCACCCTGAGTTATGACAGTTTGCTTTGGCTAGATTTGAACAGAACATTTGAACCGCCAAAAGTCAACTTTTGTATAGTTTTGGTTCCTTGATAAGGACAAGGACCTGGAAACCTAAAGAAGATATTAAACATTTTAATTGTTTGAAGGGGCTAGCTTTTATCTCATTTAAATATCCATTAGTCAGATCAGTCTGTCATGTACATTTTCCAGACTTTTTATGCAGGCTATTTTTCATCTGTTTTCTCTAGGCATACAACAGCTGTTGGAAATAGGAACATTCTTTATCAAGAAACACTCCAAATAACTCGATTCTAGTATTTCTAGACTCTGCAAAAAAATATTCTGTGAATGCAGGTTTATGTACTGAAATAAAATAAACTTATTGCATGTTCTCAATTATATTGATAAAGAAAATGGAAAAAAGAAATAAAGAACAGTCAAGTAATGTTTTAAACTATTCCTTTATCTGCCCCAGAAAATGACTGGTGCTGTTATAGCTCAGGTCTTACAGTGCTGAGAGTATTTTATTTTACTGGGTGCGTCTGGTTTAACCATGTACTGGCCTCAGTTAACAGCTAAACCAGTACTCCAAAGATGAAATACAGTACAATAAATCCATATCCAGGCAGGACACCAGAAAAACTGGTGCATTACTACACTTCCTTTTGTTCTATTACTAAACGATTTCCAGTACATAAACAGAATTGTAATGTCTACAGAAAAAATTACAGTCTAAATAGAAAAAAATAATAATAATAGGAAAAACCTTTCGACAGTCAGAGGGGTTCGCTTCTGGAACAGCCTCCCAACAAACATCAGGGAATGTCCCACTTATTGCACATTTAAAAAGCACCTTCAACAGTTCACAGTCATGCACTCACTAATTTTATTGTTGTAAGGTCATTGTCTGAACGTGTGTCTATGTTTTGACTGATATTGTATTATGTGATCTTGTGTTGTTTTGTCTTCCTGCCTCAGGACGACAGATGTAAATTAGCAACTATGCTTTAATATGGCTAATTTACATTCTGTACAGAAGTATAAGATTGTTCATTAATGTGCTCTGTCCTGATTAAATAAATAAATACATAAATAAATAAAATAAAATAAATAATAGAGAACTGCAATCCAATGCTCACATATTCTATTTGTGAAAACCAAAATAGGGTACTCTAACCTTGTCTCAAATTTTATTTATTTTCCACCAGTAAAAACAAAAATATTGCCTTAATCCTCTCTCGGATGATGCATTCACACTGAGATCCAGTTGGAGTCTGTTAAGTCAAATAGTTGTCAAAGTAATCAACTTCTAAAGAAAATAAAAATATATATATATTGTTTAATTGCTGTGGGCTGATTTACTTATTTTCTTGTCAAAACTTAAGTATGAATTGACTGAATCGATATGATAATGCACAAGGACAAAGTAAGCGAACTAGCTTAGCTCTTCAGAGGCAAGCAATTGGAATTGGTCACAGAGTATCAGCCATTCAATGAAAAGTCTCAAATATATATTGTAAAGAATCCTTGTTAATTTACCCAAGGTGAGTGTTGCTTCCATTTTTGAATTTACACAAAAGCAAGGACATTATCATGTGGAGTTTTCCAAAATACATCCCGTACCTGAGAAAGTCTTAGACAATGTCAAGGACTCTGAATGACTTACACTGGTTTTATGGTCTCAGCTACAATAGGCATTAGATCTGAAATGCAATGGAAGCTTATCACTTTCCGGAGACAAAAACTAATCTTTAAGCATATCTTTGAGGGTGAGATGAGGCATAGAAATGATTAATTTCTTTCCACTTCAGGTGAAAGCTATAATCAGTCATTTAGCTGTTTTCCCATCCATGACTTTTTGTTTTTTTGTTTGTTTTGCAACAGGAAGAGTTGCATTATCCAAGACATGGTGAATTTTCTTTGCCGTATTGGTCTGTTACAGGGTGTTCTAACTGTGCTAGATGGCCCTAATGTCTATACTCTTCAAATTCTAATAAAAAACATATATTTATTTAAATTCTTGAAATCAATTAGAGAGAATCACAGCTTCTTTCCTTATAGGAGAATACTGTTAACTACCCTTTGGTGGGTGTGAGAAAAAAACTACAGAACTAAGAGTGTGAGGAGCTAGATGTGTAACTTTTTGATGTCAGGTGATATCTAATAAATGTAACTATGTTCTCTCTTTGTCTTGGACAGGCTTCTTTCATCTAAGAGTTCCTGAATCCTCTGCCGTTGGGTCTGCTATCGGCAGAATTAAAGCCCATGATCTAGACATTGGGAGGAATGCTGAAGTAGAGTACACCATTGTTCCTGGAGATGGAGGCGCTATGTTTGACATCACCACCAATGAGCACAATCAAGAGGGGATTATCATTCTAAAAAGGGTAGGTTATCTCTAAACGTTATTGGGCTTCCATTTTTCACTAACTCCAACATTACAGTATGTTCATTGCCACTCTTATATGTACCCATCCTGATTGTCCCACATTAAGACAGGTTTAGTATTCTATTGTTTTTTTTGTTTTTTTGTTTTGTTTTTTGACAAGTGGTATAATTATGAAAATCGGTTCTTCATCTGCAGGAATATGAGGACTGTTCCATTTTGTCAGTGTGGAGAGAAAGTGAAGTCAAGAGGTTCTCCATTTACCAGCCCCATCTTTTAACCGTACCCGCAAGCTTAAATCCTATTTGTGCATTCACAAACATATGATAATTCCTCTTGTCCTGATCCCGCTTTAAGCCTTTGAGACTGACCCAAAACAAGTCAGCCAATCATATTGCAGATTTACAGTTTAAGGTGTCACATACAGTAGTAGCCATTCAAAATGTCCCAACTTTTCTTGATGGGCCCTTGGCTGGTCCCCTACAATTTATTTTTAAACATCAATCTTTGTACTAAAATATTCTTTCTGTCATGATTTGTGGACATTAAAATCTAAAGACAAGTAACATCTTCTGGTCAGACCTTGTAATTCAGTGAAAGGGTGGAGTCAGTGTAAAAAAATATGCAAGAAGGGATCACTCCAGTGGTTTAAAGCTGGGGGGGATTTTGCTGGGAGTTGGAGGGAAGTGGGCTTCCATTCGGCTGGTATTTGAGTGGGAAGGGCCATTTTGAATGGCTGCTACTGTATAGCTGTGTTTAAACATGACTTGCGAGCCTGGAGCCAAACTAAAATAAACATGGCACTGCAGGAGGAGGAACAGCAAGAGGCTCCTTTTCCCAGAACAGATTTGATTGTAGGAGTCCCAGATTAATGATGTGCAAAACTAAATTGGAGTGCTACGCAAAATCAGTCTAACTTTTCCGCTTATCCATCTTCAGTCAAACTCTAAGTATTGGTAAAACAAATTTGAACCATGGCTGACAGAACAAGATGTCAAATGCAAAAGTAACTGAATTTAGCTTCTCCCATTGACTGAGCTCAGACTTGGGAATAAGATTGGACTAACGGTCATCCAGTGGTAGCTGAGTGTAAAACAGTTCATCTTCTGCTTAAAAGGAGTCAACTGGGGGGTTAGGGTACCAAATTAAGTAGCTTCAATGGCACTTCCCAGATATCTTAGCCAGATATGAAAATTAAATAAACATGTTTTAGAACCCAGACCTTTGATGGAGCAATTACAAAGTCCTTTAGGCCTGTATATATCTGGAAGGATGCACGGTAGAGTGTTGATTTACAGCTAAACTGCACCATTTTTGTGATCTTTACAAATGTTTTACTCTTTTTTCTCTGCCATCTATGAGAAATAGACTTGATCTGTATTCCTGATTGAGGATGAAAAGGGGGGGTGTTCATGCCAAGAAGCCAGTGGGAATTGCTGTATTGACAGGAATGGCTTGTAGTTGCTAATGGAATGGACAATGCAAGGATAAATAAGGTCTGTGTGAATGAGAGGTTAGTCTAAAGGCAGCAGCAGGACCCACACTGCCATGTCAGACACCACAACTACGGAGTAGGATAGTGAGAGTGAATCAGTGCTTACAGATTTCAATTCCATATGTTTCTTTTCTAATGAATTCAATGCTTCTTTGAGTTTTCCCACAGAAACCACATAGAATCTTCCTATTTCCATTTCCTCATATGAATCATATAGGTGACATCACACGCTCAAGATCCCGCCCTCCAGTTTGCTGCTGGAGGGCAAAAACACTAGCGCCGTGTATAGTTTTTTTTCAGTCTGCCCATTTGGACTGGAGGTTTGTATTACAGGTTAACATTTTAATAAATAATTGCATTACCGAAAACATATGACTAGCATTTAATAATATCATATAAATTTATATAAATATCAAATCATCTTACCCTGCTTTGCATGTGCAGTGTGCAGACACCTCATAGCCTTTTATTTTGTCCAGGCAGACCTACACCTGGTGACATGCTTTCTTGTTGGTCATCATTTGTTATGGAATCAGAGCACACTTCAAGAAGCACACTGCGTTCATGTGATTATCGCTGTTATAACATATTTGCCCCACATGTCCAGACACCAAGAAGTTACATCCTTCTAATGACTTGTAAGCCTTCATTGTCTCTGCTTTATAAAGTCCTGGTGTGTCAATGAGATGATTGGAAATATCCCCTTACTGAACAGGCGGCCAATTTTGAGGACTGTTAATCCACAGACCATCAGCTATTTGAAACGGGTCTTGAAACTTTTCACTAAATACAGTTAACTGTGTACCCAGGAAATTTTTTTTATTCAAAATGTCAGAATTAGTGTTGAGTTTGAAGCTTTATAGAGTTGCCCTAAACCAAGCCTTGTTTTGGCTTAGAAAACATGCAAATTGAACTTGAAGAATGGGTTCACCCCTTATGAATGGGGAGTTGTTTGGGTTCTTTGTTAATCTGCAATACACGACACTGGTCCATGCCTGTGAAAGGGAGGTGGTTAGGGGGAATTGTTGGCCTGGCTGACCAGGCAAGATGTTTTGGTCCCCTGTATGGGGGTGGGGGTTGCAATGATAGCAGGAAGGAATCAAATCTGTTGCTGCATTGTAGGTTTTTGAGAGATGAAACCTAAGTCCAACCCCTCCGTTTAAGGTTGGTTTTCTTCACATAAATGGCTTCCTTCACACCCGTTTCAGACCATCTGTCTTCTTTGTCTGAAATGTAAACATTGGTCCTCAAAAGAATGTCGTTTTTGAGGACATTTTGAGGACCAAAATGTTCACATTTTGGACAAAGAACACAGGTGGTTTGAACAACGCTTAGGACATTCACAAAACTTCTGGAAGTAAACAATAAAATTCAACATGTCTATAGAAAACCAAGTCTGTGGATGTTATAAGTTATTTAAAGAAAATATCATAGAAAGTACTGTTTTTATATATCACAGATGAGAAACAAGAAGTCTTAAAACTGCTAAAGTGTAGCTGGTTTTAGGCCTATATTTTTATTGTCCGCTATGGCATATATTTGTATAAAAAAAAACAATACATTTCAGAATAACCTGCTGATTTTAAGTGCTTTTTTTTTTTATCAAGAAGACTTTCGGTTATTAACATCAAATAATAATTTCATCTTAAAAATTTAATTTGCTGCTGGTTTTAGGCAGTGTGGTCTTAGTCCTGTTATAAGTATTTGTGTATCTAAAGTAAATTACCTTAAGCAAAGGCCAATTATATGCACTTTTAACCATGCACACAGTATTAAATTTTTTTGGTAAGGAGCAGCACAGATTAATCACTCAGGAAAACATTGAACTTCCGAGGACCCGAATGTGTTTGAATGCTGCATTTGAACTCTGGTATTTCTTTCAAGTGTGAGAGGCTGTCTAAATCCTGTCCAAAAACTTTGTGCTTCGACAGATCAGCCGAGAAAGAGAAACATACAGTATGAAGCATTGAGCCCTGCCCTGCTCATAAGACTTTTTAAAAATAGAAGAGCTATCATACCTGACAGGGAGTGGAAGAGGTGGGATGCAAGCACATACAGAAGCATCTCACAACCAGGGAGGCTTAAAAATAAACAGCAATTCTCAGTCACTTGGGGGAAGGAGAGCATAAAGGGGAGTTGATTTTTGCAGTTCCCAGTCAACATAGACTCATCCAACTGCTCTCACTTTATGAGTCCTTTTTTTTTCTGCTTTCTTTCCTAAAATATATGCATGCAGTTTTGCTTAAATAACAAACATTTGTCCAAATAGCACAATATAGTGCAAAGCTCCAGAAGGAGGCAAATAATAGGTCAGAACCTGTGCTCTAGCCCTCGTAATGTCGAGTTCCTTCTGTCCCTGCCATAAAGCACCGCTCAGAGCAATGACATAAGTCTTCCTGAGCGCCTGTGCTATCTAAAGCATTCACTTAGCATGTCAGGGCTCATTTGCTTTGCCATATGTTCTGAAGGATTAATATACCCACTGTACTGTGACCTCCTCTCAAAAAAGGTCTCACAAAAAGTATCTCATTTAATACCAACTACTTTTACGACATAAAGCATTTTTAGAGTCATAATATCTCTTCCGAAAATGGCAAATGGCACAAAAGAGCGTGTTACATTAGCTAAATGTATTACTCTCAGGATAAATCCTCAGAGATATATCATCTCATTTTCGAAGGGGACCCGCAACTGCCAGAGGTGAATGAAAAAAAAAGGCATTAGAGGCTAAGACAGAAATTAGAGTGAGAAATATGGTGGTACATCCAATGAGATGAGTATTAATCTGCTAAAAAGCTATACAGCAAGAAGATTTGAGGGGTAATAAATTACTGTTTCTGCAAATATACTTAAAGAATATACATCTTTAACCCTAGGATCATCTTTTCACATATTTCAAGGAAACTGGAAGTAGATCAACAAACTTGTTTGTAGTTCGCTTCATTTGATGTTATGGTTTGAGTGAATACTCGGTTCTTATTGGCTTCAGCGTGTCCTATGAAAAGTTCTAGTCAAATAGCCTATTTGTTCTAATTTATTGCTTTTCTCAAATGTTAGTTGGCAATGGCAATACACAGACAAGAACAGCTTCACTGAACTGAGCTGCAGGTCTGTGGCCAGACCTGGTTATGTTGTTTACTTTCCACAGTGAGAGATAATAAACTGTCAAGTCAGACACTTGTAAAAGACATGCTAATAAATGTTTTAGTATTTTGTGTTTTCATTGCATATGTGAGATAATGCCCTATCAGTCAACAGAAATGAATGGAATTTACAAAGGCTTTGCACCAGGCAGTGTTTGTCTCCTTGCTGTCTATTAATTTCTGATAATGGGTACCATGTCAGGCATTATCCCTTACCTATAGACACGTTATCTATGGGCATGTATGTCTTATAATTTGGGATGGTGAATGATGCATCAAAATTGTTTATTTAGACCAGGCAAGCCCAAAGTTGGTCTTCAAGGGCAGAGAAGCATAGAAACATTGACTCATTATAGAACAAAC